GTCGCACTTACGAAGGCTCACATGTTGAGCCCATTGTCTAAAAACCCTAATCGTTGTGCACGCAATTGGATGTTGCATGAAAAATGGATAAGCTTAAAACATAATAATGTTAAATTAGATTTATTTCAAAAATAATTAGAAAATATGATCTTGACTCTTAGAATTGAATGGTAATTACGAGCGACTTAGCGGATTTTTCAATTTCAACTTAGGAGAAAAAGTGAAATATTTTCTAATGAGTTTTTGAAATAAATAAATGTAAGATGTATAATTAATAATGTCAAAATTATTTCACCCTTGTAGAAAGAAATGGCTGCAAAAAATGTTGTTACTGATTTGACCAAAGGAGAAAAGCTGGTTGGAACCAACTATGATATTTGGCATAGGAAGATCCAATATCTTCTAAATGAACAAGAGCTCTTGGAGCCTTTGGAGGCTTTGGTGGATAAGCCTGATCTTGTGAGAGATGTAACCACTGCGGCTCAGCATACGGCTAGAGTTAATCCACTCTGACATCTATGGACCAATGAGTGTGATGGCTCGTCATAGCGCCTCTTATTTTCTGACTTTGATTGACAATTACACACGATATGGTTATGTGTATTTGATTGCTCATCGTTATAAAGCTTTAGATTGTTTCAAATGCTTCGTAGCTGAGGTTGAGAATAAAAAAAGGAATACTGTAAAAGCTCTTTGCACTAATCATGGACTCGAGTATTTGTTTGACCAATTCAAGGTTTTTTGTGAAAGTAAGGGGATACACAGACAACTTTATGTTCCTTACACGCCACAACAAAATGGTGTTGCTGAGAGGAGAAACAGAACTTTATTAGACATGGTCAGGTTTATGATCGCGCAAGAAAATCTCCCCATATTTTTCTGGGGTGAAGCATTATTGACTGTGACGTATATACTTAACCGTGTGCTTTCAAAGATCGTTCCCTCAACCCCATACGAACTTTGGAATGATGTAAACCCCAATCTGGGTAATTTGCGTCATTGGGGTTGTGCTGGATTTGCTCATAATCAACCACATGAGTTTGAAAAGTTGGGTCCTAGAGCAAATAAACATATCTTTATAAGATATTGTGAAAACTCGAAAGGTTATGTGATGTATGGTGAACATCCAAATGGAGGGAGAACCAAGATTGATTCACATGATGTGGAGTTCATAGAGAATGATTTCCCAAAACTTGGCGATACTATCAAAAACCTTGATCTCCATAAGTTGGAGAAAGATGAAGAACTTGTAACATCTACAAGCGAATGAGGGGAATTAATTTCCAATCCAATGGTCGCTGAATATGATGTAGGAGGACTTGATCCAAGTGGGAGTACACAACCCAGTGGGAGTAATGTATCCATAAACACTCAAGAGAATACGCCCAATGATGGGAGCATACCCTCTAAAATTGAAGGTCACACAATTTGAAGAAGCAAGAGAGGCCACATTCCCAAACATCATTTTGAGGTTGATGGGGAGGCCTACATTTGCAAACCTTTAGAGGAAGACAAACCTTCTTCTTACACAGAAGCATTGTCTTCAACGGCCAAAGAAAAGTGGGTAACTACAATAGAGGAAAAGATGAGCTCCATGGACAAAAATACTGTTTGAGAGTTAGTTGACCTTACGTCTAGGCGTAAAACCATTGGAAACAAGTGGGTTTTAAAAATCAAACGCAAGGCGGATGGTTCAATTGACAAATATAAGGCACACCTTGTGGCGAAAGGATACACTGAGCAATTAGGTGTAGACTATGAAGAGACATTCTCCCATATGGTGAGGTTTGTCTCTATTTGCCTCATTTTAGCTATTGTTGCTCAAATAGATTTGGAACTTTACCAAATGGATGTTAAGACAGCATTTCTCAATGGAGAACTAGACGAAGAGATATACATGGATCAACTTCTAGGCTTCAAGGCCAAAGGACAAAAGCATACAGTTTGCCGCCTAAAACATTCCATATATGGCCTCAAGCAAGCGTCTAGACAATGGAACATTAGATTCCATAATTCAATCACTTCATTTGGTTTTGAGATGATTGAGGAAGACCACTGTGTGTATCTTAAGAAATCTGGGAGAAGTATTCTCATACTTTCTCTATATGTTGATGACATCCTAATAGCGGGAAATGATAAAACCTCCATAGAAACCACGAAAGCGTGGTTGTCATCCATTTTGAGATGATAGATATGGATGAAGCACATTATGTGCTTGGAGTTAAGATCACAAGAGATCGCTCAAGGAAACTTCTAAGTTTGTCTTAAGAGACTTACATTAAGAAGGTACTTGAACGATTTAAGATGGATAACTCCAAACCCCTAGACACTTCTATGGAAAAAAGCACAATATTGTCCTTAGAACATTATCCAAAGACTAAGACAAAGAAAGAACAAATGGCAAACATCCCTTATGTCTCTGTGGTAGGAAGTCTGATGTACGCGATGTTTTACACGAGTTCGAACATTTTCCATGCCATGGGCATGGTAAGCCGCTATCAAAGTAATCCTGGACAAGTTCACTGGCAAGCCGTCAAGAGGATTATGAGATACCTACAAGGAACAAAAGATTTAGCCTTATGTTACCAATGAGGGGATCTGAAGTTGAGAGGATATAGTGATGTAAACTGGGCAAACGATAGAGATGAACGCAAGTCCACCTCAGGTTATGCTTTTGTCCTTGGAGGTGGAATTGAATTGTTTCTTGGTGTAGCAAGAAGCAAACTTGTATTGCTTTGTTGGAGTCAGAATATGTTGCCCTTGGATCAGTTGTTCAAGAAGCTGTTTGGCTTATGAGGTTTCTACGACATATGGGAATTGCAGCTTATGCTCAAGAAGTTGTACTTATCTACTGTGATAGTAGTTCAGCCTTAGCATACACTAAAGATCCTAAATATCATGGCAAATCTAAGCACATAGATACACAATATTATTTCTTTAGGAACAAGGTTACCAAGGGTGAAGTAGTTTTGAAACATATCTCGACTAGCAATATGCTCACTGATCCCATGACTAAACCCATAATTAGAAACTCGTTTCTGACTCATGTAAAGAATATGGGTTTATGTAGGGTTTGATGTGTTTTTCTTTGTATTTGACATTATTATTGAATAAAAAGGCATTGAATTTTTTCATTTCATATTTATTTTTGAAATGATTGTTTACACATCTTTACGAGTGTCACCAAGCTAGAATCAGTTTTTCACACGAACGATTCGCCCTGGTGCTAAGATAAAGAGTAGGATGAGACATTTGTGTCCTCAACGTATTGGACTGCGAGACCGGACACATGTATGTTGAACGTACGAATATGCACAAGGTAAACGGTGCCTTAGAAATGTCTAAGATGAGACTTAACAGAAGTCGAACATGAGATTTGTTTCATGTTGAAGCTTGTAAAGCTGGATATGAGCATCTAGGTGGGCGTCGAGAGGGCGACTAAGCTAGAAGACTCAGGTTAGGCGCTTGTGTAGCAACTAGACTAAGATTCGTATGGTGTATGTCAAATATACATGTGACACTCTCATTGAAAGGAGGATACACCATAGCATACAAATCATATTGTATGTGCTATAACCGACTGACAGTGGGAGTGATGAATTGTTCCCTGCTTCAATCAATGTGTGAACCACAAGGAATCTATATGATTCTACCCTTATGCCCTTTGAACTAAAGTCTATGTTAGAAAGATGAGGTTTAATGATCGCTACTTTAGCACATTTATCTAAGACGGTCAAGTCAGTTACTGTCCCAAAAGGCGTGTCTAGGCAAGCAGTTAAATTATATTAGACTGACATGAGAGCTTAAGGAAGACAATTCGAAGAAAACACCATGTCATATGATTCATTAGTTGCGTGGCGTCTTGATATTTGTTATCAAACATAAGACATGGATACATAATACTTGTGAGACATGACATTGTTTTTTATTTCATAACAAGGGATAAAGAATGTCAAGTCTGGTGTGTGATGAACAATCTGGGGCATAAAGCAATGAACTTCAGGGTGATGCACTATTGTTAGTTTAGTGATAGCTTAATGGCAGTGGTCCTGGTTATGTACGTTCTTTCTCGCGAGGTCGCATGTCCCATTTCCTGTATGAGGAGATAGACTATAATGGATGTGAACTAAGTGTGTTGATTAAGACTATGCCACACCCTATATGGGTGAGTGGGAGATGTAGGATTTATCTTATGGGATAAATAAATATCAAAGGATATTCCATCCACATAAGGATATTAACCTCCTAATAATCTATGTGATAATTAGATGAAAATCAAGAGATATTCATATTAGAATATACTTGGGATTTTCATTGGCTTTTCAGTCTTTGTACACTCTTTCCAACCACTATATACGGAGGCTTTGGGGAAGAGAGAAAAAAATAAGAAACACAAGCTTTTCCACAGTTCAAATATTTTAGTTAGGTCTTTAGAGCTATCACTTTCGGCTCTAGGTCTTGGTAGGCGAAAACCAAGGGGCAACTCGACATATTGTAGCCAACTCAACGACCTGCGAGGTTCTAGAAGTGCACGGAGGGTCGGAGCATTGTTCATGTTTGTAGGAGCATGTTGAGATTCAAGTTTCCGCAAAAAAAGGTACACATGTACTTTCGAATCTATTTATAGTCTTCCAACAAACGTCATGATTGTCACTCTAAAAATTTCTCATGCATTTCATAAATCAGACATGAAAGTTTGAGTTTTGGATACACCAACTTTAGAAGGCTGGAAGAGCTTGAAAATGATCTAGAAAACAACCATGATTCTTCAAGCAGAGAAAACTCCATTTTCTAATTAACTTACACCATCCAATGAAGTGGTACCACACTAATAGAGATGACCAAGTAAAAGAAAAAGGAAAAATGATTACTAACTTGACCAGTTAATCCATGGGACCATGTATGACCGTTGCAAATTAATGCAGAAGCAGCGGCTTATATATAATATAAAGACACATCAATGACAGGTACAATGGTGAGGAGGAGGAGGAGGAGGACCATGACTCCATGAGCCTTCAGTTTCATTTAATAAAGCATATAGACATACAAGCTCACAGACAAATACAAAGAAACACCTGAAAGGAATACATTCACATGACCCACCATGCAAACTGAAGAAAATGAGAGTTACCTTCGCTTTATTTAATACACCTGTGCCCTACAAAATATTAACTACAAACCAAAGAAAATGAAATTTTCCATTTTCTTTACCCACAGTAAAAAAAAATTACCAAATTGGCGAGCTCAAGCTCCCAAGAGAAGCATTACAGACCATAATAAGACTCGAGAGTACAATTATGTGGTGACAACAAAACTTAAATACATTTATTTGCTCTACACACAATAGTAATGTTTTGCAACATTTCAATGAGGCAAAGAGCATCTTATATATACAGATGCAGCTCCTACTTTCTTGGGGTTTTGGCCTCCAATTCGCATTGGGAAGATTTTGAGTCCCTCGTTCGAGGATTCAAGAAGCTTGCTTGCCTAGAAAATAACGCATGAATTCGGATTCTCTTCCATGCTTTGCACATAGTAGTATTTGGTCATGTGGGGGTTGTACGCTTTGTATGCCTTGACGAGCTCCAAGACGGGGTCTGGCTCTTTCTTCTTCTCTTCTTCCTTCTTCTCTTCTTCTTTCTTCGGCTCCTCCTTCTTGGCTTCTTCTTCTTTCTTGGGTTCTTCTTTCTTGGGCTCCTCCTTCTTCGCCTCTTCTTCTTTCTTTGGTTCGTCTTTCTTGGGCTCTTCCTTCTTTGGTTCCTCTTTCTTAGGCTCTACTGCTGGTCCTACTGAGATTATATCTGTTTGCCAATACTTGCGCAACTTGCTCACCACAGTCACCGGGTCCACGCTTCCGATCACTGTTAATTTCTTATCCTTCATGTCCATGGCAATGGAATCGATGCCTACAAATTGCAAGATCAAAACAATTAATTGAGAATTCTCAATTATTCAACTCTGTTTAAATATCTACTATCTCAAGAACAATTGATCCATATGACCCCTACATTTTGTGGTACTTAAAGTTTTGAGTAATGCAAGACAGATGATCAACTTGCTGATAGAGCAAACTAGCAACTCTAAACCCTGCCGAAACCATGCACAGATTGTTTTAAAACATTAACCCATTCATTACTAACATTTTTCTCTTATACACAACTCCGAAGGCAACATGGACAACCAACGCCGACAACAAACGGCAAGTTCTTCATCATCGAAAAAAACAAAAAAAAAAATCTAAAGGCAAACATTAACCCGATTCATTACATACATTACTTGTAAGATTTCTAGTACATTTCAACCCCTTGAAATTGAATCACAAAGTATAGTGTAGACGTCTGCAAACTACACCATCTTCTCCAAAATTTATTCATATAAAGAGCCTAGGTGAAGAAATTTCTCTCTTTCTCTTTCTTTCCTCATCTTTCTGTTTGTTTTTTTAACCAATTAAGTTGTCATATGTGAACAATCAGATATGAACAATAACAAAAAAGATATGATATTTTATATATAATTTTCCAATCCCATCTCTTGCTTCTTTAGGAAACTAAGTGGAGAAATCTTCCAACCACTACTTTCCATCCAAACAATTACAGATGACAGAATTTAGGTAAGGATTTAAGTATATTTCTGTCAATTAGTAATTAACATCATCAATTTGTTCCAAATTAAGAAGTTTGATTAAATCTAGTAAAATAATGATATTTTGCACCTGAAAGAGTAGAGACTGTCTTGAGAGCCTTCTGCTTGGCTTTGTCATCAGGCAAATCCAACTTCAGTACAAACTTCTGCAACAACAAAACCGCAAACACCAAGAGATCTGATCAGAATCACACAAAAATCTTCCAAATCTGAACAATTCTTTCATGGAAACTCCAAAACTGCAATAACCAAAATCAGAATTTTTTGTCCCTTTCAAGATAGAGACTTGTGTGCTTAATTAGGACCCAAAAGGGAAATCTTGACAGCAAAAAGAATGAATATTCAGAAAATTTAAAAGTGGGGAGGATTTCAGATTCCAGACCTTCATTTGCAATTGCCTTCTTTTTTTAGAGAGATGCAGAGCAAAAAAACCAGAAAGTTGAGATTGTCAGATGGAAAAGCCGTGCAAGAAAAATGAGAAAACAGAGATAAATGCAATTTGCACAAATGGGGTGTTGAAAAGAGAGGCCAAGACGAAATCGAATAATGCTTTGTTGAAAAGGGGAGAGAGAGAGAGAGAGAGAGAGAGAGAGAGAGAGAGAGAGAGAGAGATGAGATGAGATGAGAGAGATAGGAGGTCGGTGTTTGGGCACACCAGGTACCAAAAAAATCCGAATCAAAACAACCAGTGCAGAATAGGAGAGAGAAAATTAGGGAGTGGAAAATGAGATGGAGAGAAAAGCAAGAGATATAAAGCTTTTGTGCACGAACGTGTTCAAGAATTGTGTGCAACCAGTGAAGCTATCAAGCTGCTTAAGCAGTTAAGCTATTACAGTCAAAATCCATGGCCCTTTTGGAACAAGAAATTGCATATCACGCGCGAACTGTTGGCGCGTCAATTTACTCTCTGGCCTATAAAGTCACCTTCTTGAAATGACTTCTCCCAAATTTGAAGCCTCAAAAAATACCCTCGTTGTGAAAATGTAATTTGTGGTGGATTTTAATGAGTATTCCGCAAAACACCACGTCAGTTTTTTATACTAAAGGTGAGTTTATTGTACCAGAATATCTCGGATTAGACTAGCTTTATAGACTAAGCTAGACTGGTTTAGACTAGACTACGCGGGATTAACTTAGTGAAGCGTGTGAACTAAAAAGTAGAATGATTAATCAACTTTAATATTATATTATTTAACCGATATCTATTAATATTTTAATTTTAATATATTTATTTATTCTTTTATAATTTCTTCCTCTCTCTTAACCTCTCTTTTTTCTTCGCCCATGGTCTTCCTGCCCTTTCCCATTTTTACTCTCTTTTTTCTTCGTCCACTATCACCCTCCCCGCTCTCTCTTTTTCGCCATTTTCACTCAAATTACTTTGCTCTATTCTTCTCTTCTTCAAAATAAGAAACTCTGAAGTTGTTTTGATATTTAAATTTCAGTTCTTTGAGATTACAATTTCAGTTCTTGGCGTTGGATTAAATCCAAAGCAAATCTAGCTAGGTATTCCTTCTTGAAGCAAAGAGGGGAAATATGGGTTGTGGGCTCGTTGGGTTTCATAAGAGGGAGAGAAATCAATTTGAAGCAAATAGAAGGTTGGGTTCGCGAGATGAAGGAGATCGGCAAGACGGCAAGATTTGGTGATGGGTTTGCGGGGAATATGGAGATCGAACAAACCGCTGGATTTGATGACTGGATTTGGCAACGCATGGTTGCTGATTGCAAACGATGTAGATATTAGAGAGCAGGGATTAACAATCCCAACCTTTTCGGGGGTCCTAGCTAAGACGAGGTAGCGACGCCTTTAGTCAGAACGAGTCCGACTTAATCCCATTAAAGACAGTCCCAAATCAAACCAAACACAGACCAGTAAGCCAGTCTAGTCCAGTGAAGCCTAAGGAGCTCAAACAAACACAGCCTAAGGAGATTGTTTCAAAATGAAATTCATCATAGATTTTCTGTTACTTTATAATTTTAGCGTTAATTTATACATTAATATTATAAAATAGGGGTGTGCTATCCACACATCCCTTTTTACTTCTCTCATCCCTTGTTAATTTATGTCATTTGATCTTATTCAATTCATCTTATCCAACGGTCGAAAATTAAAAGGGTGTGAGAGAAGTAAAAAATGGTGTGTGGATATCACATCCCATAACATATTATGTTAAAAACATAAAGTTAATGAAAAATCTCACTTTAAAAAGTCTCCTTAACATTTCTCTTTCCCAAGCGTTGGTGTTCTTCAATGTCATCGTGCGTAATTTGATAGGCTGTTAAAAACATTGATTTTTCTTCTATGTGACTTTTTGGATTCTCCATGCCACATTAAAACTCAATGCTACTTTTAACTTTTTTTTTAATGAAAAATTATAATTATATACTATTTTTCTTTTCTCATACATTCTTTGTTAATCTTATTTGTTGTTTATGTTTGATTTATTCAATCTGAATAACCAATTATAAGAGGGGTATGTAGGACGAGAAACATGATGTGTAACTCTCACTTCTCTCGTCTATTTGCACATGATCATTTAGTCTAGTAACACCAAGAGAAAGGATAGAGAGAGAGTGTGTGAGATTTTCTACAATTGAGCGGCACGAGGAGGAAGAAGAAGGGCTCTCGAATGATAACATATCAAACCCTTGCCCAACGAAAAGGTTCGTCGAGTAAAGGTTTAAAAAAAAGAGTAAATTGTAGTAATGGTCCCTCAACTTTAATCAAATTGGAGCAATGGTCCCTCAACTAAAAATCCATTACCATTGGTCCCTCAACTTATCAAAATATGTAGCTATGGTCATTTTCATCAATTTCGTCAAAATTTTGTCAAAATAAATTATGTTGGAATAACCATTTATATAATTAGGGTCCATCAACTCATCAAAATGTGTAATTATAGTCCTTTTCGTCAACTACGTCAAAATTTTTGTCAAAACGAGTTATGTTGGAATGATCATTGCAACAATTGGGTTAAAGTTAAGGGACCATTTCTCTAGTTGAATTAAAGTTGAGGGACCAATGGTAATGGATTTTTAGTTGAGGGATCATAGCTGCACGTTTTGATGAGTTGAGGGACCAATGGTAATGGATTTTTAGTTGAGGGACCATTGCTCCAATTGAGTTAAAGTTAAGAGAATATAGCTACAATTTACTCTTAAAAAAATGAAACACATGTTTAAAACCCTAAAATTTCATTAGGTAAAGGCGTCTAAAATAGTTTAATTTGACAAAAAAAATTGGTGGAAAATAAAGTTTGCCTGACAAAATTTTGGAATATTTCATCGGGCTATCTAGGGGCAAATTTGATTTTTTGGAAAAATTTGGGAGAAATTTTTCAGTTTCAGGTTTGCCCCACAAATGTAGCAATGTTGCCCAATAAATCTATGTTAGTTTGCCACATTAAATCGTCGAGCAAACATCAAAAAATTATTTATTCTCAATTACCGTCCTTCAAAAATTCATCAAAATCAAAGGTTTATACACATTAAATCGCCATGATATGTTTGTATCCGTTGAAGGATTTTATTTCGTTACCTAATCTTCAAACGTTTGTTTTTTGTGGTTTTTGACTTTTACGGTCTCAGAGTATATAGAAACAAGTTTGACGGTTGGATCGTTGAAACTAATTTCATAAAATGCATATCAAATAAAAAACAATAGATTCTGTTGGTACCATATATTGGGCCTCGTATTTGGGCCTTGGGCCTCGTAGCCTCGTATTTGGGCCTTGAGCCTCGTATTTGGGCCTCACACATTAAGCCAACGACAAATGTAAAAGAGGAGGAGCCCCTTATTCTATAAAAGGAGACTCCCCTCATTCTAAACGAAGGCTGAAGTCCTCATTTCTAAGGGCTAGAGCTGAAAACAAAGGCTAGAAGCCTTGAGAGAGAGTCCTCACACCACCGAGGCTCTCCTCTCCCTTCTCTTCTCTCTCTGGGGGACTTCCCCTCAAACACTTGTATCCATACAATTACAGAGAAACAGAATCAACTACAGTGTGGACGTAGCCCAAACATTGGGGTGAACCACGATAAAATCCTTGTGTTCTTTGTGTTCTTCGTGTTCTTGAGCGTTTGTGCAGATTCACGGTCGGATTTACGTTGTTCCAAGACCGCCCCGGTTTTGTGCATCAACATTTGGCGCCGTCTGTGGGAAACGACACGAAAAGTTATGTCGGATCTCTCTCAATTTTTAACCTCCACCGTGGATCTGCAAAATTTAACAAAACCCAGAAAGAAAAACCACAACAAAATATCCCCAAAACCCAAACACCACTAATCATTTTCTCAACCCACCTTCGTGAATCCATCGGAAAACGACATGTCCTTCAAAAGCCCAAGCATACTCCTCGTGAAGCTTCTGTTCTTCTTCGGGCGTGTAATCGCTCTCGACGCCGAACAACTTCCTCATGTGCTCGACGCTCTTGTTTTTTATTTGATCCACCACGATCTGGTTCAGCACTCCCAGCAAATAGATCGACGTGCAAGAAGTCAGTGGCCAGGATCAGCTCCATCACGCGGTCGGTTATTAACTCCCTGACGAAATCGGTGCTGACTTTCCTCAGCTCTTTCCTCCACGCCTCATCATGCTCCACTTTCCGATGCAGATGTTGGGTTTTGGTCCAGAAATCGATGCAGATGTTGGGTTTTGACTCGACTCACTGAGTCTCATTCCTTCCAAGGAGATAAGCAGCAGCCGCAGAAGCAGAAACTAGAGGGCTGCACCTGCAGGAATCACACAACCAAGAGATCTGCGATGCTTGCAACCAATGTGGCAGGCCATACCTTGAGCATTCAGGAATCAACTACTTCAAAGATCAACCGGAGAAAAGATGAGCCATCCGGTTTACAGTGCAGTGCGTGGCGACGGTGCATCCTAACACCGTGAGCCGCCAGATGGTGAAGTATGTCGCTGGGTTGAGCAGAGACGCAGCAGGTGGAGGTTCAAATGAAGAAGCTATATTGTGTGAATAAGGCTGCTGTTTTACCTATTAACATTGAGGATGCTGCTCGGAGTGATGTCGAAATCGAAAAGGCTTTGCAGGCCGGAAGAACACTCGTTCGAGTTAATCACTCACAGAGTTGGACGGGAAGGAGAAACAATCGAAAAGGCTGTAGCACATCCTGCCCTAACTATTAGTGGAACCCTGAGCCTTATTTGGGCCCCGCCACTTTGCTCCACTCCAATTGAGTTTGTTACAGCAGGATATTCCAATGGATGATAATCATCATCAAAAGGGCTTGGACAACAACAAAACGTTAGGTCTCCATCCACTTTTTCCTGTCAACCGCCAATGTCGGGATAAAGATAAGGCATCTTCTTTCTTTATCAATAGTGTTTCATTATAATCGGCACTCACAAAAGCATAATTAATATATATATATATAATGATAGTTGGCATCACAACAGTATATATATATATATACTTGTTGCTAGAATGCAACCGCATATGCCGCGTGCTTGTGCTTTTATTAAATAATGCTGTTGTAAACTTAAGTCTGCTATGCACATACCAATATCAGTATGCGTAGTGCAATACAAATGCATCACTTATATGCCATGTAACACCATATTCAATGTACTGTGCTGACAGAAAGTCAGTACTTAATCATTGTAAATGATCATAACTCCATCTATTGCATGTGCTAAACACATGCACCGAACTGATCAATATATTATATACTATTGCATCAAAGGCTATTACCTTGAGACAATGGCTAGTCACGTAGCATAATTATGGGCACACAACCCT